TTTATTAAGGAAGTGTAATCCCAAATATAACATGTTACGTTTGACCACTTTCTAAATGGCATTGTGTAATCATGAATATTTTTTATCAAAAACGATTGGTTGAACGCTGTTTCCGCTGCAGATATATGTGTTCCGATTTTATCAAGATGATATGTGTGGAGGAAAACAGTATTTGATCACAGAAGCCTTATTGCAATCATCCGGATCAGCCAGTCCTCTAGTCTGTCATACAGACCCTGAAACAAATACATCCAAGAAAGCCCCGGCAAGTCTAGAACATGTGGCAAGTCTAGAGGGTCTCTCGGCTATTTTTACTATATTTAGGAATCGTTTTTTCTATAAAATATGTTCATTTCAGAGACCATATGTTAGTCTACGAATCCTCAAATAGGCTGTTGCTATCCTCGAAGAGTAGGGGCCTATTCAGCCACGGAATACCAAAAGTCGTTTTCAATACGTTATAGCATATACATGTAGTTAAATTTATATCAATAGTTAGGTGTTGCTGAGATTCTTCTGGCGAATGGATGAGTGAGTATGATTCTACACTTCTTCCAGGAATATCGCGGCGGGGGGACACCAGAAATTACCACTGTCGAACCCCTATCTTTGAGGTGACGAGCGAACGCTTTAACCACTAGGCCCTTTTGATACTCGGCAATACCAAGCAGCACACTTTGAGGAACACTTTGAGGAAGTACTCAGGAACACAAAGAGACAGGTGTCTCCTTAAGTACAGTATCATGAACAACCCCATATGTTACATGTCTCTGAAGGGCAGATGACAATAGCTAGACCATAAACCAATTTCCCCGCCCAATAATCTTCCCATTTCACAGTCCACTGGTCAAGTGTACATGGACATTACCCTGGCAGATTGAGCCATCATCTGACCCTCCCCTCCACGCCACCTACGTTGCTGGAGATTTCACACATCCGATCGATTCGGATTTCATTACAGAAGCACGATCTAGTTGACCGGGGAATTCCCAGGATATGTAGATAAATGAAAGGAGTAATTGGTAGCCAAGAAGATCCGGACACGTACGTACGTGGAGAGCTTCGCCGGTCAAGGTGAAACCACTCAAACAAGTATGTGAATGTTTTGTCGGAGATGAAAGAGAACACCAGTAGCTGGGGTAAAAGTTCATCCTTCATTGATCGAGTGCAGTCTTGACGCAGCCTTACAGTCGATATATAGTGTCCGTGGTTATATTTAAACCTTAATCATCTTCTGTTTGATGCTTGACTGGCTACAATGGATAGTGTTTTCTTTGATAGAATGAGTTCAGTATGAATTTTAATTTAAGAGGGAAAAAATTGCAAGCAAAGAAAATTTAGATGCTAATGCACTGCGCATACGGTTCAAGAAAAACAAGACAAAGTGCATATACATTGTATACTGCAAACAGTTAAATAACACCCATTTTTCACATGACAAATTAATTTGTTATGGATGGTGGGTATTGTAATTCACAGCCTTCCAATTATGGATGATCTTCAGCTTGTTTTGGGTAGTATAATGTATGTATGTAGGTAAATATTAAAGGTGAAAGTTTTGTTGACGCTATGCACATTCAAGGAGCCTACTACGTTAATTATATCATTCAAAGAGCAGACAGAGGGAGGGACTTGACACAAGCATGTTGAAGTAGTAGCTAATATTTTTCATATTGGTTCTTCTAAACAATAATCACACGGAGAATTTATGTTTTGTGAGCCATAACAACTTTAGTATTTTTCCAAAGAAACGAGTGTTTACCCTGTACCATCCATACCTTGGATCTGCATGCCTTTCATCTTTTAATTCTGAACTATGCCATGGAATATGTACTTGGTGTCTAAACAATGTCACTACAGAACGATTGCCTTTTTTGTCAACAACATTGGCATTTGTCATGTTACTGTTTTTTACTAACGTACTCATAATTAAAAACGAATAATAACAATGTTTTACATTGCAGAACAAATGGAACAATAGAAAACAATAGTAAATTGCTTTGCCATTCATGTCAAATGCTTTTTAATAGTGTAAATGTATTTTTCTTCTAGACGCAATGTTTCCAGAATTAGACATGCTGCTGTCGTGCAATATTTCCATAGCTTCTGAATCAACACTTGGCAATGAGGTGTACTTCTTATTAGCACCGTGTTCAAGGAATATAGATAAAAATTACCAATTTGCATATTTTGTGGATGTAATTTCTAAAAGAAATCTGCAATGTTGTTTATGTAATACATGGAAGAAGAACCATTTACAAATCATAAAACTCTCTGCTGAAACCAGAGACCTTTGTACAACCCTGACTTCATCGTAAAAACACAACGTGAGAAATGATCTGTTGTATGAATGTTGCACTTGCTGCTGTTACCGCCTCATCTTTCATCACGCCCTGTTCACTTCCAACTGTGATAAAAATTACAAGAATGCTAGTCACGTGACAAACAATACTCCTCTCCGTTCTTCAAACCCATTGAAAGAAACAAGATGTCGGATCCATGTGTGATCTTGAATGAAATTAATAGGAAAGCCTATTTAAAATGATCAGATGTTTCAAGAATGAATTTCGTATGTATGCTTTCCTGATCTAAAAAGATGAGCGAGGTTTGTATAGCAAATAGTTCACGTTGTTTATATTGACAAGGATATGGGTGTATGATAAGATAAATAGAATTTATGTAAATTGTAGGAGGTTGTTACAATAACCTAGCTTTTGTGTTGTCTCTGGACTGAAACCTTCTCGCAAAGACAGACAAAACAAACAGGTTTTGTTGACAACCATTGATGTCACTTGTCTCAATAAATCATCATCATGTACGTTCCCAACAAGTGACAAGTTCTAAATGCTGACTGACATTTTTTAACGTTTCCTTTAGCTGTTGCTAATCTATCCTCTAAAGTATCTCCTTCAAGGGTTACAGATCCGCTAACCTGTTGCTTGCTAATGTGTTCTGTAATATGAAGTTAAGATGAAGATAAATAGCCTAATGGCCTTTTTAAATACTGTGTTTGCTTGGAGCCAACACCAGTAGCCCCTCACACGTGTTTTACAAGACAAAGGAAGTCCCCAAGTCAATTCCAGAGGCACGTCTCAGGTATCATAGAGGGTAGGACATTGCACTCCGTGTCCATGGAGGTATTACTAGGCCTAAACTCAAAGATCACAACTAGACTCTATTATTTAATCTAGACGTCATGAATATGTTATACCAATATGTACACCGCTTCATGGGCTGCACATAAAAATATATGACTTTTCTTGGCTGAAGGGTTGGTGTTAGATTTGTTTGAATAGTTTGAATGATAATTTCTAAAACAAAATATATAACAGATAGGTGTCCTTGGTACTCTAAACTTGCCTCTTTAAAGGAAAGAATTACTATACATCCGTGGGCTTAGCATTCAGTACAGCCTTGGGGCAAGGATAGTTAAGTGTCTGCACTGGGTAATCATACCATTTGTCGGACCTGTCGGAACCTCCCGAAATAGCTGTAGGTTTCCAGATGCAGCGTAAAACAATAACCACGAAGGTCGTTGATGGTCATGACAAAAAGGTTGAGTTGAGATAAGTTGCGTATCATTTGATGTGAGATTCTATGATCTCTCATCTCACCGCGGAGATGGCAACTGGCAAGGTTGATAGGAACATATATTTGATCCAAATGGTCAAATTCTTGATTTCACATTTACATGTTTAGTGTATATAATTCCTACTCACGATACAGTGGTCCTCATACACAACTTATGTAAAACTTACCCCAGATGGTGATAGGCAAGATAAACGACAACCATGTCGAAACTGTTATCTCAAACTCTTCTTCTCTTTTTCTTCGAGATAACGAGAGTGATGTCGTTCCCTTTCTTTCATCCGTCAGTATATACATGTAGTCGTAATCCTAACAGGATATTTTACAACTGTTCCGTTCCGTTTCTTTCTTCAGTAAGTATATAGTTGTGAATATCATATCAATTATTTCCAGCTGTCAGATTACATCAGTACTTTGGATTATGAGTATGAAAAGTGTATTTGCTGGTAACCTCGCCAACACGGCATCGTTTACTTCGCGCCAGTTAACGAGGTCGCCACTATCGACATTTTTAATACACGATGTAGACGCGGTCAACATAGATACATGCCAAACTAATTTGATGCAAAACACATCGTGTATTTTTCATGCCGATTCATAATTGTCTGTGGAAGTGGGTGATTACATTGTGACGCTGTGAATACAGCAGCGTTTGTCTATTGTTATAATTAGGTCAGAAAACGTGTCTATTGTTATAATTAGGTCAGGAAACGTGTGTATGTATCGTCACAGGATTTGTTACACCTGGTGGATTACAATACATGTGTTCAAGGTGCACTCGTGACGTCGTATTGTGAAATCAGTAATTACACGGTTCACTCTCAGTAGTTGATAACATGAGTCAGAAAATATACAACCCACATCACAAATGATCTACCTGATATTACCTTATGATGATGATAATAAAGATATTGCGAAAATGTTGATAATTATGTTAACAATCATACTGACAAAATGACAAAAATGAGACAAAATGAGCTGATACATATAATGACATTATCACAGGTTTATATGTATTGTTACACTAACGATGACAATATGAACTCTTCTGTTCCTTGAGAATAATTATGTTAATAATTATAATACATATGATGATTTGGTTGGTTATAATTATGATAACGAAATTACGATGATATACAATGATATACAAGTATTTATATTCATGGTACCAGATGCGACATGACATCTTGCTGATGATGATCATTATGATGATGATGATGATAAAAATGGTGATTATTGCAATAATGATGCTTATTATGATACCAATAATAATGCCCTGGACCTATATCTTCACAGCACATAAAGTTAGACTAGAGACATCCACGTTCAGAGTCCCAGTGTGAGATGTAGTTTAACAACGCTGGAAATGTAGAATATTACAACTGATGACGTCGACGACGATATGTACTTACCTACGTCGTTGATTTCGTTGATGTTGACCTTGAGCGATGCTCGCCTCAACATCGTGCTGACAGCGTTCAAATCATTCTCCTTTATGTTATCCAGAAACACCAATTCATCCGGGAATCGAACTTTGGGTTTACACTTATTCTGTTTAGCTAACAAACTAGCCCTTCGACTCATTGTCCCGCAGAGACAATAAACGGACAATGGCTATTTGGTCAGGCTAAACGCCTGTATTCTCCTCCTCAAGTCGATAGCACTGCACGCTGGTGTATTTCCACCGATTTTCACCACAGAGTAACACAATACCCGATTCCTGCAAAGAACGACATTGGCAGCACTGTTCTTTGTTTCGTCGCCACAAAGCGATCAGCTGATTCCTGCTACAGACACCAAATCGAAAGCCGTGATGGAATAACAGCAAGCAAGATGCTTAATTAGCTAGTCTCTCCACAGCGCTTAGCTGAAGACTCCGAACTGCACTCGATCACTGAAGCTTCTGTAATATCCAACGAGTACACTCACTCGGTATAAACACTCCGCGCTCAAAGCGCGTATATCTTCAATTATGGATCTTTGTAAACACCACTCTCTCCAGCCACGAGGTTACGATGCGCTGGCCCCTCCTGTACAGCTGTCAGACCGTCAGTGTAAAGTATGATAGCTGTCCCGCGATATCAAGGCTATTCCCCGGTGTTCCTATACCGCAGATGGCACCAAATACACAAACACTGCTATCTCTATACTCTCCCAGTAGCACCGCAAAGCTGTTCTGTTACGCGGAGAACGGAAAACGATCAGCGCTCAGTGTTCAACTTACTCCAAGTTAGCGAGCTCTTCACGAGGCGTGTGTCAACACTAACATCCTACGTAGCGCGGGAATGCTGCTTTCACTGCTTCTCAGTGCTGCAAGAAATCCAATACTTGGTTGTAAAACAAATCAGCCGTGACGCTACTTACAAGGATGACTATTGGCTAGGGTGCTTGTAATAACGAATTTGATTGGTCGCTTCCAGACTGTCTGATGGTTTCTGGGACTATGAGTACCATATGAGCCCATAGACTGCTAAAAGCTTTGACGGGTTAATTATAGAAACAGTGGCATAATGTATTATTCATTGCAAACACAAGCATCAGTTATTATGTATTACATAAATAAACATTATCTGGCAGCAAAACTGACTGGATAATACAATAAACGTACCGAATCTAAAAACACAATAACATATAATTTGATCTTTTGTGATTTCTTAACGTTTAATGACATTTCGAGGATTATAAAGGCAGAATCTTTCTAGATCTTTTTAAATTTAGTTTCACTAACCGTTACCATGGGGATGAGTTCACTGATTTTCACACCATTTATAACTCTTTTCAAGCATGTAAACGACAATAAATATTCATAACTGTATTTCCACTCTGAAAATGTGTTGAAATATATACCAGGCTCTCAAATTTGACAAACTAACACTTTCACCACTCGGATTCACAACAGTGTCATTGACATATAACCAATGTTTATGGTATGTACAAAAATACAAAAATGCAATAGTATACAAATAATATACAAATAAGAAAGAGTATACCATGTAAAATTGCATGAGTGAGGTATATTTTACGCCGCGTTATGGATATTCCAGGTCTGTGTATATATAGGCGGGTTACACCAACAATGGCCTCGTACATTTCAGTAATAGAAGAATCGAACTGTCTTTGGTGTGATAATCGAGCGCTTGACCCACTAAACTACCGAACAACCGGCATGGGTGATAAAACTGATGACAACATATGTATCTACCTCTGAAAAATATGTGTGTCATATGTAAGTATGTTCATCATCACATATGACAAGTCTCTTCATCATATCTGTGTCATATGTAAGTATGACAAGTCTCTTCATTACATCTGAAGGATAAAACATGTATCTACCTCTGAACATATGTGTGTCATATGTAAGTATGACAAGTCTCTTCATTACATTTGAAGGATAGAACGTGTATCTACCTCTGAACATATGTGTGTCATATGTAAGTATCTACCTCTGAACATATGTGTGTCATATGTAAGTATGACAAGTCTCTTCATTACATCTGAAGGATAGAACGTGTATCTACCTCTGAACATATGTGTGTCATATGTAAGTATGACAAGTCTCTTCATCATCACATCTGAAGGATAAAACATGTAACGAGCATGTATCTACCTCTGAACATGTATCTACCTCTGAACATATTTGTGTCATATGTAAAGTGTCATATGAAGGATAAATGTATGACACGTCTCTTCATTTCATCTGAAGGATAAAACATGTATCTACCTCTGAACATATGTGTGTCATATGTAAGTATGACAAGTCTTTTCATCATCACATCTGAAGGATAAAACATGTATCTACCTCTGAACATATGTGTGTCATATGTAAGTATGACAAGTCTTTTCATCATCACATCTGAAGGATAAAACATGTATCTACCTCTGAACATATGTGTGTCATATGTAAGTATGACAAGTCTTTTCATCATCACATCTGAAGGAGTCTGAATGTTAACTACCTCAACACGTGTTCTATATCAATAATTGGCCGTATTATAGCACGGATATAGGCGACTTCCTGTCATTATGACGCCCATACCAGCCACATGGGTCGTGCTGAGTACGATATCGTCACTGACATATAACCATATTGTAATATATGTAAATCCGAACGGAAGGAAAGATATTTTTGTGTATAACTTCCCTGATAGATAATATCTCCACATACTTTTATCACGATAGATGCAACAAGTCAAGAGATATAGTCGATAATGTTTATCAAACGGATCTGCTACGTTAGCGAAATATGACTGATGTTTGACACAAGTTATTCGGTTCATAATGTGTTGTGGTGTACCGTTCATACCTACTGCTCGTTTTAATGTACTCTGTACTTGTTTAGTGGAAGTTATCCATAGATAATAAAAATCGTGTATATAGAATTAAGTAAATGCATGTAAATATATCTAACCATATCACACATTCAGCTAAGAAGTATGTGTAGTTTTCGACAGGATATTTGAATTCTGTTTTGAAACTGGAAGATAAGTCAGTTGTTTCTACTATTCTTTTACATTTTGATATTTGATGAGTGACATTTGTGCAATACTAAGAGAAGACTTTCTAATACTTTTTTAATTCGTTGTATTTGTAAATGTACATTGATTTGTATGTAGGTCTCTATAACGTTATCCGATATATTTAAACTGTTTCTTTCATGAGTGAAATGTACATGTACATACGTAAATAGACCGCCTCCGTGGTGTAGTGGTTAGAGCGTCCGTCCGGAGAGCGGAAAGTCGCGGGTTCGATTCCCGACAGCTTCATACCAAAAGACGTTGAATATGGTACTTGTTGGTCCCTTCCTGGGGCTTGGCATTAATGGGTACAACAAGGACTGGTCGGCTCGGAGTCAGTATAATGTGTCTGATTGGGGTATTCATGCTTCACTGCGGCATGGTATCTCAGCGGGCTAGCACTATAAAAAAACAGCTAAAGTCTGGACTAGTACAAGCAGTCGCACATACACATGCACGTCGTCATATGAGCGAAATATTCTCAAGCAGGACGTTAAACCCAGTTTCACCTCACCTCACATATGTAAATAACAATCATATAACAACTACTCTCAAATCTATAACACTGTCATTAAACAATTAAATGCCGATAAATACATCTCAAACATTCAGCTTGGCCTATATAAAGTTTACCAACGTTTCACAGATGATACAATGCACACTTCATAAGTATCAAAAGCGAAGAAAAATGTGTTTCATAACACCTTCATCAATCTCAATTTCCGCTGGTAATATGCACGACGAAGAGGAAAAAAACTGACGTTTCCTCGTCAACGTCATTCATCACCATTATTTTACGACCACTACATTGTTGTTCCCATGCACGTTACGCATGAAAACCTACCGGAAAGTTACAGTGATCGATTCTCGCACAGAATCAAGATTTATTCAAGACATTCAGCATTAATTGTCCCATATGCTGACATTATATTTTTAAATAGCTTCAAAGACCTATTGTTCTAAACATATTTAGCATCCCATTTAAAAAAAATTCGTTTGTTGAGCATAAAGGATTGAAACACACAACAATATACGTATGGCAATCCTTAGAAGGATTGTGATTTACAACACATGAACGTGACAACCGGTAACGTCATCACCTTGTTCTGAAATGCATCTCATCAGCTGCACATTTAAACTTACGAACATTACAAAAGAAACAAATAACATTCACCTTTTCCCTGAAACACGAATGGCTTCGCGTCGTAAGTGTTCATTTTTTCCTAAAGGTATCGCCCCTTTTTATTGGCCACGTCAAGCGTTGCATGCCTGAAGTAATGTAGGCGATAATTCAAGTATGTGGCTTACTCCAATAGAAGCGTAATCTACCTGTTCAACCGAGCACAATGACTTTTCACACGACAAACAACGCAGGAAAGTTAGTACACAAACATCGTGTGTGATTTGCTTGGGAACACATGAGATCTCTTCACACGTTCACTGCAAATGGATGGCCATACAATGTGTACAATATGCCCGTGATGGAACAGCGTACATGTTTTACTAACAATTTCCACGTCAGCTTCAAAGACTGGGGTTACCGAGCATTGAATCTGATACTTCATTTCGTTGTTTATTTAGACCGTACAATAGAAGCGCCTAAACTGGTTACACACCTTTATAGAGTCCTTGATGCTTTGTTGATTTTCACAATTGTGGCGGAATGTTAAGGAGGTTTAACACTGGGCCATTTACAGCCGTTATGTATCAAGTAGTGGAAATACAATGTGGTTCTCTGATTGGATAGTCAGTGTTTGTTTGTTACGTACTGCTTTGAACGTGACACATTGCTTCTTAAGGACTTTCAGTATATTCATATATTGTTGTCTTTCCTTACATCAAACCTCCTGCTGACACCGTCTAACCTTAGACCCTACTGTTTTTGGCTGGTAATATAGATAAATACTTTACAATATAGATAGATAGATAGATAGAGTGAGTGAGTGGGGAGTGAGAGTGAGTGAGTGAGTGATAATTGGCATGAGTGAGTGGGTGAGTGATAGTGAGTGAGTGGTGAGTGAGTGGTGAGTGGAGTGAGTGAGTGAGTGAGTGAGTGAGTGAGTATGAGTGCCGCTTTTAGCAATATTCCAGCAATATAAGGGCTTGGGATACAGCTGGGCTTCACATATTGTACCCATGTGGGGAATAGACAGATAGACAGACAGACAGACAGGCAGGCAGGCAGGCAGGCAGGCAGGCAGGCAGGCAGGCAGGCAGGCAGGCAGGCAGGCAGGCAGGCAGGCAGGCAGGCAGGCAGGCAGGCAGGCAGACAGAGAGACAGAGAGATAGATAGACACATCACTTTATGTTTCGAATTCAGTTGATTTTAATCATAAGCATTCGTTTGTCTCTTTCACAACATATTAACATTTGGTATTTCTTTCATGATTAACGTAAACGTTTCAGTTTTTCATCATGTTTCATATTTTGCTTTAATTTGGCATTAATGTACTTTACTAGACACAAAGGTTTCATATTGCCCAAGGTATCACGATAAGGTTTGTGCACGTCTGAGTTAGTTTGACAGTTCAGCAGCTGATGCAACGACACCAAACTAACATTTAGTTTCTCAAATAGTGTTATCGCATTTAAAATATAGGTCCTTCCAAATTAAAGATAACATCCAAATAGAGAATAGAACAAGGGGCTTAGGCTATCTGGACTTGCCAATGTATCTTAAACATGCGTTTAATATTTTTTCGTTTATTGTTTAGGATCAGGGAGAGAGAAAACACACAGACCGCACGTAGTAAGCAATGTACCATCGAAACATACTTTCCAAGTCAAACTGTTACCCTCACAACTATTATCTACAGCCAAACACAAGAAATACTCTAATCGGACGGTATGTGCGTATCTGGGAATGACCTTTGCGGTTGAGGTAATTCACGCATGTGCCTGCCAACCTTGGCATGTGCTGGAAGCCGGAGATTGTTCCAGGCTGTTCCCGTTTACCAATGTTCCAAACATACATCACAAGTAGTATCTACCTGTCAACTGATTATCACAGCTTGGCTAAATGCCCTTGAAATGGTTCCGCCGTGACACCACTTACGTTACGACATATCACGTCACTGGTCAATGGCGGACAAATGAGGGACAGGCGCTTTGATGGTCAGTTGATGAATGTGGTCATATCAGATGACTAGTGGTCAGGGTAACCGTTTCATCTGGGATTAACGTCCTTATCACATTACTGCACATGTGTCGTTAAAGCCACCTTGATCATCTTAGATTACTCTGATTGATGAGCTGGGATGGTGGAACTCGGAATGTTTAACTAAAAGTTGAGTAACACATGTAGTTCCAATCATAAATAACGTTCGGCATATCATGATGTTATTTTTGGTGTTCACGTATCTTGGCGACTTGCGATATACTGACACGTGTACCTGCGTGTCTTTGAGTGGGTGTGTTGCGACGATTTGTTTTAAAATAGTTCCACGTCGGTACGTAACCATGGTTTCATTTACAGGAAAATATCCCCTTAATATACCTCCACAGTTAAACGCGCGAGAATGAACCGGGACATTTGCGAGAAAAGCATCAGTGAAATATACAAAAGATTTTAGTGGCAGATATGTACTGATCAATCCTAATGATATGCCCTACATAATATTTCTTTAAATATTATGCAGCTGATGTATGTCCTCGTTACCATGGCCACTCGTTTTCTATATTTCACGATCACGTCATTTTATCTACCTGTTATCCTGATTTTGTGTTTTCTCGAAATTCACATTTTTTTGGTTAAAATATAAAAGATTAATTTTCAAAATGACAAGACTGACGTACACAAACACACATTCATACATACCTACACACATATCCATGCTAACGCTAGTAATAAGCCATTAGTCTGGAATTAGTAGTAGAAAAAGCTCATACGCGCACGCACTTACAAACGCACGTACGCGCCACGTAAGTACTATATGAGTGCACCACCTTCTCCCAATGTGATGACTAAGGTTGGTTATAAAGTTGGCGTATATGAAAAGAAAGAGTTACAAAATGAACCCAAAACACCTTTGCAGTTAAAGTATTCTCAAATTTAACATACATTTACACATCAAACGGTTACATTGGTAAAATGATTATGCATCTTCACCTGAACTGTAAACGAATAACTGTGAAACCCTCCTACATTTCAACAGAACAATGGTTTCACTAAGACAGTTCGTGTCGTGAGAGCGCCTGAAGGTGTTTATACCGAAACATTATATAGTCTTGCAATAATGTACATCTTAGATCATATAATCTGTGTCAAGTACAAACTCCTGATGTTGAATTGCGAAATATGGATAATTGGTGTTAGTTACAAGATGCATGCTGTTACTTGTCTTACATTACACATGGCTGACGGATTCTGATTGGCTGAGCTCGATCTATCATGTTCATAGTAGCCTGCTTATATATAAGGTGTGTTACATCCCCGCGGGAATTGCCGAACTGTGTTATTACATTTGGAACATACAAACCGTCATTTGGTTATCTCGAGTAAATGAAGCAAGACGATATTCTCCGGATATTTACGATATTTTCCGAATGAAATAGAGGAAATCAAGGGGAATAACTGTAAGCTAGTTTTCTGTCGGCTGCTAAAATGCCCAACTACGGTATTCTTACCGATACAGACAGGAGCAAGCATGCATAAGAAATACGTGCAACATGATTTGGACTGGGGAAACATGAAAATACAAACCACCCATTTTCTTCAACCCCATCAGAACACCACCCCGTTATAACGTCACACCACGGGATGTCACCCGCCACAGCTGATGTAACGCTCAATCTCAGACATGTCATTGCGAAACAGAACATAAGTTGCCTGCATTTGATACAGCTCAAAGGTTTTAGAGTTTTATATTAGCAGTATTAAATTCTTAATCGTTTGTCATACGAGGATTTGGTAATGTCACGCCTTAGGGAATGTGCTGTGATTGTTTAGAAATATGGAATTGAATTGCAGCTAGACAATTTCATATCATATCAGATCATATGTTGGAACATATGTCGTTATTGGTTATCCCGTATTCCATGGACGTTGATCACAACCGATTAAACTCATTTTACGAACAGATCACATATTAAAGCGAGTGAGTTTTTAAACAGTATGCTAGTTGTATTGACGTCTCCGCTTATTAGTGAGTGAATGATTATGGTTTTACGCCGCGTTTCGCAATATTACAGCAATATCACGGCGGGGGACACCAGAAATGGGCTTCACACATTGTACCCATGTCGGGAATCAAACCCGGGTCTCAAGCGTGACGAGCGAACGCTTTAACCACTAGGCCATTTGCGAACTTGTGAGTGTTAACGGTGAGTGACATCAGTTTTACGCCGCACTCAGCAATATTCCAGCGGTCTGTAAATGATCGACTCTGGACCAGTCAATCCAGTGATCAACAACAGCATGAGCATCGATCTGCGCAATTGGGAACCGATGACATGTGTCAACCAAGTCAGCGAGCCTGACCACCCGATCCCGTTAGTCGCCTATTACAACAAGCATGGGTTACTGAAGGTTCATTCTAACCCGGATCTTCACGGGTCTCAAGCTCGAATAACTTCAGAGTGTCATATAGTAAGACTAATAACGATACTCGCAAAACTCGATGTATGTTGTTGACAGAGTGAGTTTAGTTTTACGCCGCTTTTAGCAATATTTCAGCAACATCATGTCGGGGAACACAGAAATGGGCTTCACACATTGTACCCATGTGGGGAATCGAACACGGGTCATCGGCGTGACGAGCAAACGCTTCAAACACAAGGCTACTCAGCGCTCCTCTGTTGTCCGAAGGACAGACTAGTCATTACATATATTTCAATCAGCAGTCACATCCGGATGTCTTTTATCGCTAGGTATGATTATAATTCTTATCTTTTTAAGTGAAAAGGGAAATTTATTATAAGATATTATTTTATTATCGGATATTTATATAGCGCACATATCCACGCACATGCTCAAGGCGCTGGTATTTTTCCTCGATCATTGGATGTCAATCTCAACGGCACATCGCATTATCAATCTCAACTCCCTGGGGAGTATACAAATTCAGATATAAGGAAACCATGTTAAGGCAATATACTGGAGTGACATTTACATCGGCTTCTTGTCTTTTTTTCTTGCAATCAAGCATGATTTTTTCATGAATTTCAAAGAGTTTCAAGGATTACAACATTCAAGGCCCCAGTGAAGTTTTCAGACAAAAACCTTTTATAGACTTCCAAGGTTACTTCCAAATTTGACGCATCAGTGATAAAGCTGATGTCCTATGTAGTTTCAAATGTAGACTGGTGTCACACGTTTCTGTATTTTATTCATTGAGCAATTGCCTTGCCTTCGCGTGTGTTTGGGACGGTTTCCACAAGGGGTCAAAGTACACTCACCCATTTCATGATTTCCTGATATCATCACTGTTTGAAAGTGCTTGACAACGGTATACAAATCTATACCGAAACCTCGCATCATATCTAATAAAGAAGTTGTCATCCATACAATATCCTACTTTCTTATTACTCACCAACTTCTAAAATGCCAATCAAACAGATTATTTGAAAGTGATTCATAAACATATGATATGATATAGTCGAAATAGTAAAATGCATTTTGCTTTCAGCAGATATACGTTTATGAAAATGGAAAGGATGTTTATATCAACGCTGACGTGCTTGAACGTACCTTCCTCCCATTGCTCTGCCATATGACGGTATCAGTTAGGACACTACTCACCATGACCTCACTTTGTTCAATATAATATGTTTTTAAAGCTTGACAACAACGCAAATTGCCTTAAAACGTCACGGTTGGCGATCAAACAAAACTTCAAGAGAGATGTACTTAAACCCCATCATACATGACGTATACTTTACTGTGCCTACTCAGGTGAAGTCAGCTCTTACGATGAAAGGTTTTCTGGTGCGTTTTCTGACTATTTTACATTTACCGCGTTCAGTATTCTGAAGTGTTACAGGATACACCAGTAAATACACCACTTATCAAATACTTGCTGTGTCTAACCTTTCTTCAAGTACGGTAAACATTATCGGCTGAAATAGCTTTTGCATTATTATTTCTATTGAAATAACGAAACATTCTATTAAACTTAATAATAATAATAATGTGTCCATTTATATAGCGCCAAACACCACACTAGGTATGCTCATAGCGCTAACAATCAAAGCACAGCACAGCACAGTATTACCCCGGATAACCCAAGCTGCTGTTAGACGTTAGAAGGTCGTAGTCATATGACTTTTTCCACCGGGTACCCATTATCCTGCTGGGTGAACAGAGACAATTTTGAACAAACTCACTTGCCTAAGGTGAGACCACACGTGTCACATGTGCTTCGTTGTGGGGCAGGACTCAAGTCCTAGAAACTCTCAGGAGTCAAGCTGCCAAACACGGTCAACTTCAACTTGAAATATCAAGTATATGCCATATAATGTTTGGATGGCATCAATATTTATTTGTTGTTCGTTTTTTAATAGTCACTGTCGGTGCAATATAAACTACCCATTGATACTTTAAGCACCACTTACCACTAAAATCTTATGGGTGGAACCCTTGTTCTAAGCGCAACGGTGTGACTTCCACCTTCATTGGTAGGATCCGTTTGTTGTTGGTTCGAATTCTACAAAGGGATGAATTATGACCATTGGTCTGTTTGTGAGTTTCAACGATATCAATACACATCAATGACCTGCTTCGGGGTTCCCTCCCACATTAAGCAGACACGCTGTGAAATATCGACAATTCGACCAGTCAACAAAAACACAATGTATATTCACGATAAAGCAAAAAAACACATATCACATGAAATACAGATAAATTAACTATCAGAAAACACCAACGTCACATATATTTTGCCTATATTGACTGTTATATATCAAACTACACCCCCACCCCACCCCATCCCCACCCCCATATGTGATTCTTCTAATAAAAAGATCAGAACAAAACTGAACGACTCAACTAATTTGCCTTGTAGCGTATCAGCAATCCCCGCACCTGATCCTATCGGAACTTACGTTCAATAAGATAACGTCATACTTACGTTGTTTTGAGTGACCTCGACCCTGCAGGTGGAAGGGCTGCACACGCTAGATGCTCGATACAAGTAGGTGTGTCCGGAGTGGTGACTGACGAGAGCAAGGTATATCCCAACAACTGTTAACGTTCCCTCGTGTACTCCTCTCCCACTGCAAGGAAACGAAGACGAGGCAGATATTATCCATCGCCCCAAGGAAGGGAAAATGATGTTATCATATATTTACTGTAACATTAACAACGTCGGAATAGCAAACAAAGAAAACTGATAGAACTGTTTCAAGAATTCAAATATGGCTGGCATTTTTTGTTTAATGTGATTTCGGGTTTTAACGAGACCACCACTGGCATTCCGTTCTGGTTGGTTTCATTTGCATCGTTTACTAAAAAGAACGTTTCACTGTCGGCGGTTTCAGTTATGAACAAGCGTCTTATTATGGCTCCAGGGATGTGTGAATGTTTCACGTACACTGTAAGTCATGAAAAGATTTAACATCAAGTCAAAGGGTAGTATTGTCACCGTCTCCTATACTATTCATACGTTAAAGGTGTGGTTTTGTGGTAAGACGTTTAATACGTTTCATGGAGTATCCTTCAAAGATGCTGTTTCGTTGTAGATGTATAATAGGATTCGTAGAGAATATACTTTGAATATCCAACACGTGTTACCTCCCTTGGAAACGTAAGCTATTTATTTAAACCCTTGTTTAAAAGCTTCAGTCTTTGTCATTCAAGTCAAAGTGCTTTCTATTTCATTTAGAAGACCCTTTAACTTCGATTTCAGTTTATGTGCCAGAAGTACCCATTAGTGACAATAAAAGCCAATTTATGACTTAAATGGCTGAATCAGTGGTTGGCATCTGAAGACATCGTTCTTGACGTCAAGGCCAAGGCGCCATCAGGGCCAACTGCTTCACCTGCACTGCGGATAATGCCGGATATTGCTCTGCATGTTGACATTGCACGGGAAATGATTGACTGATTCTGTAGACATCCGTCCTGTGAGTCTGTCTCTATACGAATGCGATCATCAAAGAAGAAAGCCTGGCACAAGCTATGGTTTCGTAACGTCCTGGTTACGTTGTGAACCATGACAGACACATATTTTGAAAACTTATTTATTTGTTTAATTGGACGCTTGTGTGTTAATGGTAGACCACTATTTAGTGCCTATTCAACATTTATTACAAGTAAACAGTAGGACTCCGTGAAGCAAGACCATGTTCGACTTCACCAAAGTTGTTTCAGTTTGGTGTGGAACTTAAACACCATATGTTTCTTCAGCAGGTACATTTATCTGTATCGAAGGCAACAATTACAGAAACATTATTTCCTTAAATTCTATTTCCATTGTAATATATATTCTAGACATGAAAAATCATTTGACAAAATAATGAATTCTCTCCGTTTCCACTTCCTGGTTATACATGGATGTTAACAACTTGATCAGTTTCTTCCTTCTTGAAGCATATAGTGCGTTTCATATTTTATATATCTGTAATAAATATTATTCCGGAGAGATCTAATCGTATTGTTGCTAACAACTCAACTCTAATGTCAGGAGTATCCATCAACAGTGATACACAGTCCAGTGGTAAGCAGATACATCCTAAAATAATGATAATGATGATAAAAAGAATTGTAATAAAAATAATCATGATTGCAATAGGATAATGATAAGATGATATAACGACAACGATGGTGATGGTAATAATGATGATAATAAGAATTGTAATGATAATACAATAAGTGATTACAATGATAAGAAGTAAACGAATGATGCTGATAATGACGATGAAATGATGATGGTGATGCCGACGACGACGATGATGATGATGAAAAATACAATAATATTCATAATAAACATCTTGCGCAATATATCGCAACGCAATAATGACCATGTCAACATATTACAGGATATTTGGTGTCCTGTAAGTATCTTCTACAATGGAATACTACTCACAGATGTATAACAATCGGCTCTTGGTGTGAAAGTGTGAACTAGCGCATTACTCCCCCCTCTTTATATACAAAACCCAGCCAAACATCCTGTTTGTGTTGACGTCCGACTAGAACAATGATGCAGCTATACCCCCCGCACAGTACACGGATCCAGCATGGGCCATCGGGACTGGTATAGAGTAAACATTCCCTCGAGTGGTTGTGTTGGTAGTTCACGTCGCACTCGGCAACGTTGGTGCAGTCTGGTTCAGCTTATTTGTATTAGTATTCCAAAGATGTGTTGAACATTTCGGGGCTGTTATCATCAGTATGCTTTACAATAACCCACAAAGAAAACTTAAATGAAATATATATATACTACCGAACAAAGAACGTATACATTTGACAATATTATTCGATAAGAATTACCATTATTATTAAAACGTTATCGAGCTGAAAGATGATGTCCCCCAATATAACTGTGATGCATATATCAAATACATAACCATCGAGGTAATCATTGGTGTTGGCATCAATTTTAGCGACCATGACAAAATGGGTGTGCACTTTCTGTTGCTTGGGGTAGCCTAGTGGTTAAAGCGTTCACTCGTCACGTCGAAGACCCGGCTTCGATTCCCCCCATGGGTACAATGTGTGAAGCCCATTTCTGGTGTCCTCCGCCATTGATATTGCTGGAATGTTGCTAAAAGCGGCGTCAAACTAAACATACTCATTCACTCTTTTGCTCGGCACATTACAAGTGCCAGCCTCATGATGTACAACGAATGGTACTGCCAGTTAAGAAAGACCATCTACCTGTTTCTACACTAAGGCTTCTAACACATAAACAAACAACACAGTGTTGCGAACACTTGGTGTCTCAGTTTCAGTGATCCATGCATATATATTTCACTGCGGTTTTGCACAATGGAATCGTTATCGTATGATAATCGAGACTGGTTACACTCTGGCCTTGATGGTTAATGCTTACAAATGGTATTTTGGGATGTGTATAAGGGTTAGAATTGACCTATGTAGGGTAGCATATCGTTTTATACACAAGTTGATCTCGTTAGTCTTGATGAATGAACCCGTGAGGATCCTGGTTAGAATTGGTCTTCAGTAATCCACGCTTGTCGTAAGAGGCAACTAACAGGATCGGGTGGTCTTGTCATCGCATCCCAATTGTGTAAATCGATGCTCATGATGTTGATCACTGGATTGTCTGGTCCAGACTCGATTATTTGCAGACCGCCGTCATATAGCTGGAATATTGCGGAGTTCGACGTTAAACAACCAACCAACCAACTTTTATGGTGAATATAGTCAAATCTTTATCGAGGAAGTTAAAATAATTGATCAAGAAACATCATCTGATTAACTCAAGCGTGCAACTCCTACTCTAACTGAATCTCATTTTACTAATTCCGAGTTCACCTTTATCAACTGTAGAGGTCGACTATGAAGTCCTTTGAAGTTTTTAATTGGAGGATTGAAAATAACAACCACTACATACCATTCACAGATAAAGACTAGCAGGAAGGCCTTAAAGTTAATCCTCAACGTTTTACACCTCAAAGACATACTTTAATGGTCCAGGAATGACCAGCGAAGTGACCTTTCTTTATAAGTGTTGTCGGGACAAGATCAACAAGAATATTCTCAATCAAATCCCCATCCGACTATCAAACACCATTTCCAACAATCCATTGTACACCAAACATCATCCCTGATCCCTATCCGTAACCTGCTCCTCCCCCTTTCCCTCAAGACAATGAACACCACACAGACGCTATCTGTTTATTTTTCCTCTCCCACTCTAATGCGGGGTCACTCGCAAACTGCTGATGGCCTGCCTCGGGGTCGAGAATGTGTCAACACAGGTGATCAACAGTACTTTACAGCTTGTCAGGCGATCACATTACACTCAAGGTCCCATATACGCCTGATAAGTAATTACGATTAAGCGTAACCTGTCTGTCATGAAAGCGGCGGGTCACTAGAAATGGGCTTCTCACATTGTATCCATGTGGGGAATCGAACCCGGGTCTCCGGCGTGACGACCGAACGCTTTAACCACTTGGCTACCCCACCGCCCCAGTACAGTCCGTTTGGCTCAAAATCGGACCGATGAATTGCAATCTAACCCGAAAACAACATAACATAGAATATTCAATGAAACACGAATCATAATCATAACATCAGACCAACTCTGTGATTTTTTTGCTGAATTTATTACCTAAGAATAAACAAGTTCACAGTTCACTATTTATTACGAGGGAGGACTGTAAAGGGAGGAACAGCCAAGTCATTGATTCATTAATCTGTGCTGTGCCGTCTCCATCCTTTTTTGCACACCTGGCTGTTCCTCTCTTTGCGCCCCTCCCTCGTAACAAATAGTGAACTGTGTCAAGGGTTTAATGATACTTTCTTAAACAACATTCATATATTTAGGACATAAATTCTGAAAAAAATGTACAGAGTTGGTCTGATGTTTTGATTATGATCGGTGTTTCATTGATTACTATATGTTTAGTAGTTTTCGAGTTAGATTGCAATTCATCGGTCCGATTTTGAGCCAAACGGACTTTAGTTGTAGCTGCAACAGCAGTAGTAGTGAGTGAGTGAGTGAGTTTAGTTTTACGACGCACTCACCGATATTCCAGTTACATGTCGACGGTCTGTTAATAATCCAGTCTGGACCAGACAATCCAGTGATCAACAGCATGAGCATCGATCTGCGCAATTGGGAACCGATGACATGTGTCTACCAAGTCAGCGAGCCTGACCACCCAATCCCGTTAGTCGCCTCTTACTACAAGCATGGGCTACTGAATATGAAGACCAATTCTAACCCTGATCTTCACGGTTTTATTGAGTAAAAGGGCAGGCGCGTCTTTTTCTACCGGTTGCACCTGCCACTCAAACAAAGGCGACTGTACCGCTTCTTCAGCATCGTTCACTGACAACAAACAGCGTATTACAATGTTATTAAGTAATTAGTAATGTCTAAGTATGTTAGGTATCGAGTAATCTGCACGTGGTTTGACTGAGCGCCAGGGTGACTGCCACACTTCAAAGAGGTAACTGAGCTTATTAATCATATTTTAACACAATAACTGACACTGTGGTAGTGTGACAAGTAACTTCATCGTGTTACCCTAATGTGATCAGCGTAACGCTCAGACAGTATATACTGCCTTGACTGACAGGCGTGGCTCTCATCCATACAGTAATTACATTGTGTTGATTCTTTGTTGTGGTTCACTCCATCTAGAGTCTATATATTGGATATATCTGTCTCTGCCTCTCTGTCTCTCTGTCTCTCGAGCTGCCTCTCTGGCTCTATATCTTTCTCTCTTTATCCAACTATTCTACCCGTCCCTTATATCATCTTTATCTCATTCTTTATCTCTCTCTTTCACACTCTCCATCTATCTGTATGTCTCTCCTCTTCCCATCTATCTGTATGTCTCTCCCCCCCTCTCTCTCTCTCTCTCATGATCATATGAACGCTTCTCTCTTTATCTCCCTCCCTCCATTTCTCTCTGTCACTCTATGTGTTTCTCTCTCCCCTTTCTCTACCTATCTATCTATATGTCTTCATCCCTCTTTCCTACTCTGAGTCTCTCTCTCTCTCTCTCTCTCTCTCTCTCTCTCTCTCTCTCTCTCTCTCTCTCTCTCTCTCTCTCTCTCTCTCTCTCTGCCCCCCACTGTGACATCGTGAGACCTATAAACTGGATATTACATATTTACAGGGCACATACGATGTAGGTCATCCCATTAATTCTACATTTGGTTTTATTACTACATGTGGCTGTATTCCGACATAACCGAGAAGGCATTTACACATGACCTAGTTGTACATTATGTACATCCACAGACGCCGCAATAAAAGAACATTGTCATGAATATTGTTAGAGATGTTCAAAATGCTCTTTTGTATGAACACACGCGTCGCTTGTAATGCGGTCATTAAAAGTCAGATTACAGACAGGCTCAGTCTACCCATGAATGGAAACTAATATTACGGGTATATTCCTTGATATAACTATAAGCAGTTTGATTCATGTTCGACATAGGGCATCTGGTGTAATATGCCTTCATGTAAACTAACGCATAGTATCTTAATAGATATAATGTTCTTATTAGCACTCAGCTACCTTGAAAATGAAAGACAAACGGTAAGAATTTGAGATTTAGATTTAAAAATCTACAGTTGGTTCATTTCGGGGCTACAGCGTACAGTTTGACATGGTGGAAGGGAAATATGTTGCTGGGGTTGTGAGACAAACTTGCATAAATGTTTAAGGCAATATAGTGTAACCAATTAATCCAGACGTAATCCAATACCTTTTGGAGTCCGGTTAAACAAATGTCCGCACTAACCAAATCCGGGCTATGATCTATACTGAACCAAGGTGTATTGGCGGGACTCGAACCGAACCCGGGCATTCGGTGTGAAGTCCTTTAATCACTCTGCAACTCGACCGATAAAACAAAGGAACTTTTCTTACAAGTTCCAGTCGAAATATCTTACTATATACAAACATACTTATATAAAAAAGTAAACACGACGTTGTGATTATGCATACTATGTATTTCCCTTACAAACCCGAGTCACACAATGATTAGCTATTACATCACTCTTACAATGTTAATAGATACATGCATTTCTTACTCACCTGCCTACGACTTCGGGGGTCCCGCTGACGACGTACTCGCTAACTGGGACATCAACGTGCGAGTAAAACCCATGTAGATGTCACTGCTATGATGTATGGTAGCCGGGGAGGGCAATAATCTGTGATTTATGTGTCAGTACCTGTACGTGCACATTAGATCGCTGCTTGGGTATTGTACTGCAGGGTCGGGAAAGTGAGCATGGCTTAATCATATGACACACTAGCTTTGACTTTGAATGCATTGTTTTATTCAATTTATGCATGAATGCGCTAACAGTGCATTGACTGATGAATGTAAAATCACCAAATTCAGCAGCATAAGCTACATTTTTCTACACGGTGAGTGTGATGAGACGGTTGACGTTTTAACATAGAATACTTTTTTTTGAAATTAATGAAAACAAAATAAAGTATAAAATATATTATCGTCATATGATTACATGAAGAATGCAAAATTTTGTTTGGGTTTTTATATCAATATTCTCATTTTATGTGCTGCTGCTTCATTTATTAAAATTCGGATATTGTATTAATAAAAAAAACAAATTAAATTTGATAGCGTCATAACCATTTATATACTTGAAATGACAATGGGTACAATAGCCAAAATATGGAATGCGTATTGAATAAGGATATAAACTATACATCTCGCTTACATTACGACGATATTTCGGTGTTTCATTTCAGTTCCATGCTATACTATTGGGATTGATACTGGGAAGTGAACTTTAAAATGAATTTGTAGGATAGGACATGCTTACTCTTTTCGCGACCACCTGGTGTCATGCATGACCTTCTTTCTTTGATCGAGTCAAATAATGTTCAGAATTATTATGTTATTGTATTTCACACCGTTTTGCCTCTACGCCCAAATGAAATTTGTGTCGGCAGATAACCAACGATGCATGTACACTGTCAAAAATATAAAATATAGTTAAGAAATATACATCTCGCGTAAACTGTGACAAGGTTGCGTGTGTCATATGCTTTACACGAGAAAACTTTGTAACAATTGACCCTGGGACGTGCAAAATGGCTCATAGAAATACCTGATGTTTTTATTTTACCTCACATCTATTCTTTGATCAAGACATTTATTGTTCTTAATTAATTTATTATTATATTTTCACTCTAGTTTGCTTTTACTGACATTGGAATGTTTGGTGGACAACTAGTACAGTTGGTTAGTTTTGTTATATTTGCCTTTAGATGTTACCGTTATGTACATGGGGAGATCTGTCCACATCAAAGGAGTAACATCATACATAGACTGACATTTCGTCTCTGAAACGAGCATATTTTATTTCCGAAATCATATGAATGAAATATAATAAAAAGGAACCCACATACTTTTGGTAATTCTAGTCTTGCACATATTCTGGACTAACATGGGCTAAATTATGGGTATAATTGCTATATTTGGTTCAGGGTCTTTTTGGCAGACTACATCATACACTTCAAACGTACTTTCGTATTTAATAGTCTTGTCTTCAGTCGCCTATTTGTTTTATGATAGGGGCACCTTGGGTAGCCTAGTGGTTAAAGCGTTCGCTCGTCACGCCGAAGACCCGGGTTCGATTCCCTACATGGGCACAATGTGTGAATCTCATTTCTGGTGTCCCCCCGCCGTGATATTACTGGAATATTGCTAAAAGTGACGTAAAACTAAACTCACTCATTTACTGTTTCATGATGTCCAATGTTGAAACTGGCCACGTATCAAACAAACTCTGATGTGACTCAGCAAAACGAATATTTTACTACCAATAGGTGAATACAAATTATTTGAAATACATACAAAGGAGTTTCTAGAGCAGCGACCTGATACCAATCGCTATGAAATCATTAAACCCCTTCCCAAACATAAAAAAGACACAAATAGAATTATTATCAACACAAACGAGTCATATGAGAATAGCCTAAACGGCAGGAGAATTGATCTGGCCATTGCGAGATTACCTTTAACTGATACGGGTTCGCCCGGAGACTACAGTTCAGTCGCGTACAAATGGCGTACAAATAGCGACTGTACAGGAAGATCATTGGAGCAGAAGGGAGTCATTAACCGGGTGCCCTGATTGCTGGCAGAACAGAGGGGTAGAGAGTCATGTTGTGCTGCATGAATGGGAACGAAGAACGGTGGCTTCACACCTCCGGCAAATACAGACACATATCCCGCTACTTTGATGTCATCAGCGTGCGATACAATCAAACATAGCCATATATCTATATAGTAAACTGTAGCCAGCAAGTCCGGTGGCAACAGGGACTGTGCGTAGTGATAAGATCGAATGGGAGAGTTGTGTTGGGTGTAAACAAGCGTGAATCTTTTCAGCTTTCGTGAATTGACCACGTCTTTGGGAATGATGATATGAATGTGGTTTTACGTGGCTGAAGTTATGAAAGAAAATCATATGAGTGTGGGAAAAGTAAATCATGTGAGTGTGGGAAAAGTAAATCATGTGAGTGTGGGCAAAGTAAATCATGTGAGTGTAGGAAAAGTAAATCATGTGAGTGTGGGAATAGTAAATCATGTGAGTGTGAGAAAAGTAAATAATGTGAGTGTGGAAATGTTGTGGGTAGCGGAAAGAGTTAGAAAAAACAGAAGATAAGGAAGGGTAGCAATATATGGACGAACAACTTCTTTATTACAATGAGAACGACGTTTCGGTGTAGGTTCTAACACTTTTAAATGCCACTCGAAGAGTGAGTGAGTGAGTATGGTTTTACGCCGCTTTTTAGCAATATTCCAGCACTATCACTGCGGGGGACACCAGAAATGGGCTTCACATATTGTACCCATGTGGGGAATCGAACCCGGGTCTTCGGCGAACGCTTTAACCACTAGGCTACCCCACCGCCCGCCACTCGAAGAAAGTTTAGACATATTAGATAAGAAGAAGCTGAGGATGAGACAGAAGGATGCTAAATAGAACAAAGGAGGGGAGATTGATGATGATGGAAGAGAAGGATGAGGGATAGGATGAGGAAGGAGAGATAGAAGAAAACAATAAATGGGGAAATGGGAAGAGAGAAAGGAAGGGAAGGGTTATATGGAGATTAGTGCATCATTACATATGGAGAAGAAAGAAAGTTTGTTTGTTTGTTGTTTAACGCCGCACTCAGCAATATTCCAGAGAGTAAATAATCAACAACCAAGCGATCAACAGCAGGAGCATCGATCTACGTAACTGGGATACGAATACACACGATCCCATCAGTCGACTCTTACGACAATAATGGGATATCGAAGACCAATTCTAACCCCGGATCTTCACGGGTAGAGAAGAAAGAAAGCAGGAAGAGAGCTAGGAAAGCAAAAGGCCAGATGAGAAGGAAAGAATGAAGGTTTTATACATTACAATTACATTAACAATGTAATTAATTACAATTACAAATTACTTTGTTAAAAACAGAACAAATATATTTTTGTATTCCTTTAATCACTAAATCCAATTCATTGGTCACTAAACCAATTCATATTTTTGTCATCAAAAGTGAAATGCAAAATTAGATTATATCTACAATGTACACTATTTGATCAAATTTGTATTTTAAATATTTCTTTGGGCTTATTATCAAATACACACCTCTATCATCTCTTGTTGCAAAAACACTTTGTCCACCACTGTTACCTTTAGGTATACTGTATCATGACATCATTACAGGCCTACATTACAATATATAATCAGCCTGTCTCTCTATCTGACATAATCCACATTAACATACTAAAGGATTTGTCAACTTGGATTTATGGCTTATTACCTTTCATGATTATAAAGATAGGACTACAGTTCAGTAAGATTTTGAATATCCCATCCTATGAGAAATAAACAAAGAGGCCATTTTTATATATCAAGACATTGTATTGTTCATTGACGTTTTCATTTAAAGTATTTGTAATTAAAGTAATTGCTGATCCGCTAAAAGTACGATAATGTGCACAAAGTGTGAAGCAATGCATCTCATAACATATAAAAGGACTTCATAACAGAGGTTGTCGTATTAAAAACTTTTCACACGAATAGTGAATATCTGATTTCCTCGATGCCGGATATGACCAACTCAGTGTAAAATTCCCATCGGCTTCGAATTCGTTATTCGTCTGTATTCCGTCAAAACATCGAAACAACCCTAAACGTCATACTGACATACGTGCGGATTACATGCATCTACAGAACGTCGTAACGTTGTCTGCCGTCGCTGAACATCATCCACTGTGGTATGGCGAGTGTTTGCTGTGCCGGTGGAAAGGAAGACCCTCCCATGCCTCGCCATCATTGGCCACACAGACACAAGATCGGCATACAACCCTCTCAAACTCAAAACACAAAGTATCTCTTTAATTTCACGAAATGTCGAGGGTGTCCGTGCAATGTCAGGCCCTGGTGATGAGGGTCCAGTCAGGACAGACAGATGCAAGACACAAATGTCACACAGGTGGCAAATCGCAGCCTGTTTTGACACATTGCAAGGATGTCTGTTGGTTCACCTGTTTACCAGCACGGCTCATTCCACATGAGTTTTTCTGAAGAAGCGCTACACGCTGTTTTTTGTTATTTTGAGGGAGAACAAAAGATGGTCACTTTTACACAGGTTGAGTGTGACCTAGCTGACGTTTCTTTACCAAATGGATCAATAGACCGCTGTAAAAAAGTCCCGTCGCTTTACCGTTATTTCGAATTATGTCATTAAGTCAGCCTTGCTACTTGCCGTCTCACTGAATATATATTCTCAGTAGGACATCTTTAAAACTGTGTTTATGTGCACTTTCTCAGCCCCAGTGCTTTCAGTGAGCATTGTGGTGTTTCTATACAATGGTAATATTTATCAACCAAATAACAGCAAACATGACCCTTAAACTCAAATTTGGATAAGGCTGACGTCCATATTATGTTTAATACAGCAATGTATCCTACCAACGCATCTCCGCTTTGACACAGAAGAATACAACACTAGGAGAAGACATGGTAGAAACAGCTATAACACAAATGTGTGTATCATTTCATTTCTATGCATAATATAACATATCGCTATTATTTATTCAGTCGTATGTATATGCACTACCTTAATGTCACCCGGTAATAT